CAAAACTCCCTTAAGCTGTCATTAGGCTCAGTCAGTGTTTTAGCAGCTGATGGCCAATACCACCAACGGGGCCCTGTGGCTGCTCCTGCCATGAGTCCTTTAGTCCCCCAAGCCGAGTCCTTCTGAGCCTCCTCACATACGCCCTATGGGGTGCTTGATGCTTGGCTTACCCAGGGGAGTAGGAGGCTGCCTGATGCTGCTGTATTGTGAGACACACTCCGGCAAAATTCACCTTCTCAGCCAAGACTTCTCCCTGCCCTTCCAGCAGATGAAAATTCATCTCTCTGTCTCTCCTCGACAAATGCATTATTCCTTCTGTTGAATTATGTCTTGAATAGCTCAGGGCCACTGGGCACATTGGAAAGGTGGAGATTCACTGGCCAGACTAGGGCAGACTCTGGGCATGCTCTCCGCAGTCCCCACCTCTACACTGGCTGGTGCTCTGCATGTGGAGTACTAGTCTGGCTGTTCTGGAGAAGGAGACATGTTAAGGAAGGTGTCATGGGACTGGTTTGGGTCAGTTATCCTGTGTATCTGTTCCTCCTGCTGCCCACCTGACTGTCTTGCCACTGTGCACCGCCACCTGGGCCTGACCACACGAATGCCAGCCCTCCCGCTAATGCTGCAGCCTCACCCCTGGCCCTTCCCATCAGCTCCCAGCATCACCCACAAAGATGGCACATGTGGACGCAGGAAGGCATGGACTCACTACCAACTGCAGCTTGCTTTGTAAACAGACCTCAACGACTTAACCCTGTAAGTTTATATTAATGTGAATGTACAGAAAACCATTGTCACTTCATACTAAGTGACATAAAATTTGGACATATAAACTTTGGTTTTTCTCGTACCAGGGATTGATCCCGGGGGTGCTTAACCACTAAACCACATCCCCAGCCCTTTTTTATATTTTATTTTGAGACAGGGTCTCACTAAGTTGCTTAGGGCCTCACTAAGTTGCTGAGGCTGGCTTTGAACTTGTGATCCTCCTGCCTCAGCCTCCTGAGCTGCTGGGATTACAGGTGTGCACCATTGCATCTGACTAAACTTTTAAAAAAATTAATAAAATTCTTCCAAATCCCAACTCCCACAAAGCCCAGTGTTATCACTTGATATGTAAATTTCCAGATTTGGCCAGAAAATATACATACATTTTTTATAGCGATGAGGTAATCCTCCATATCCACTTCTCTGACCTCCTTTTCCATTTCATGCACTCCACCCCACCCCCTCGGCCCATCTCTGTAGATTCTAGCACGGCATGGTGTCCTGAGTTGTCATCGGCCATTCGGCTTTCTACTGTGGGACATTTGAGTTCTAGTCGCTTGATTTGTTCACACTATAAATAGTTCTGCAGTGAAGTCCTTGTCCGCATTTCTATTCTGACTTTTCCAATTATTTTAGGATTCATTCTTGATAGGAAACTGCTAGGTCGACAGGATTTTTTTCCCCTTTTCTCTCTCTCTCTCTCTCTCTCCCACTTGAAAAGAGAGAAGCCCAGATAACTAGGACTTAGAGCCGACTATGTGGGAGCCACTCTGGCACACAGAGTGAAGGGGTTACTGCACATGGCAAAAGGGACCAGGATGCTGAGATGGGGAGATGATCCCGGGTGAGCCGGGTGGGCCCGGTGTAATCCCAAGGTCCTGTAGGAGGGAGGGGCATCAAAGTCAACGAAGGTAGTGATATGATGGAGGCATGGATTATGGATCTGGGTGGGAGGGTGAGATGCTGCTGACTCTGAGGGTGTAGGGAGGGGCCACAGCTGAGGAACACCGGTGGCTCCAGAAGCTGAAAAGACTAGAAATTCGGACCTCCCTAGAGCCTTCAGGAGGAGCATGGCCTCCGTGATACCTTGACTTTAGGACTTGTAACTTTGAGGGCTCTAAGACAGCAAATCTGTGTTGTTGTGACCACTATGATGGAGTAGCAGGTGCTCAGTGGGATCCTGCACCAGCCTGCAGGAGTTCCAGTCTGGCCTTGGCTGCTCGCTGGCTGTGTGAATGTGAGCCTCCACCTGACTTCTCTGTGCCTCAGTTTCCTCATTTTGTAAAGTGGCGATTTAAAAATACCCATTTATGGGCTGGGGATGTGGCTCAAGCGGTAGCGCGCTCGCCTGGCATGCGTGGGGTGCTGGGTTCGATCCTCAGCACCACATAAAATAAAATAAAGATATTGTGTCCCCCGAAAACTGAAAAATATATATTAAAAAATTCTCTCTCTCTTTAAAAAAAAAATACCCATTTATAAGTTTCTGGTGGGGATAATACGCATTCCCAGGCCATATTTGGCCCCTAGCATGAGGGCTGCTAGTGCTCAGAGCACCCTTGCCCTTTCCTGCTCCATTGCTCCCTGTCCCTGATCCTGGCTGAGCTTCCTGATGGGTCCCCCATGAGGCAGTAGGTCTGAGCCCATGGCTACCTTTTCACTGCTTTCTTAAATGAGAGGGCAGTGTGGAAACAGAGGACCCCAGGATCTGTTGACAGGAAGGAATGTCCCCCAACTTCTGGCCCAGCCCCCACATAGCCTTTCCATGCCCAGAGGCCCCAGAGGTGAGATCTGTGTGGAGGCTGCCTCGGGAAACCCAGCCTTCTCTTTGTCAGGGGGCTTCTTAAAAATTTATGGGTCCCCTCCCAAGTGTCAGAATCGGAAAGGCAAGTAAGTCCTTGGGTGCAAGGAAGCTGCATCTCTCGGTGGTGTGGTCTCATTGCCCGAATCTCCGCTGGTGGAGATGGCACGTGTGCTGTGGCCATGGAGCGCATCCGCTGGGCAAGGTCAGAATTCATCCGAGAGTCTGTGAGCAGCACCTCGTTGGTCCCTCCCAGCTAAGAAGTGGGGGTGAGTCCATTTAGGTGCAGGGAGCTTTCCAGGGGGCTCTTTCCTCTCATCTCTGTGACCTCTGTTTCTAGTGACCTCTGTCCACCTGAGGATACACAATCCGAGACACACGTGGGCAACTCCCAGACCCACCTGCTTTCTGCCAAGGTGCCAGTCTGGCCCACAGACACCTGGCTCCAGGGTCTGTCGGGATTCCTCTTCTGTTCCTTTCCGGGGCCCTAGAAGGGAGTAGATGCTGTCAGCCTCGATGCTGGGCATGGATCTTCACTCTCCCCAGGCACCCTGAAACCACCTCTCTGTTGTTTCCTGGGGCTTCCATAAACTGGGTGGCTCCAATAACAGAAAATCACTCTCTCACAGTTCTGAAGCCAGAAATCCAAAATGAGGCTGTCAGCAGAGTTGGTTCCCCCCAGAGGTCGAGGAGGAATGTATCCCGTGCCTCTCTCCTCTCCTCTAGAGGCTGCCAGGAGTCCTTGTCCTTCCTTGACTTGTAGACACCTGGCTCCAGGCTCTGCCTTCGTGGCCCAAGACTTTCCCTCCCCTCTGTCTCTATTCTCTCTTTCTGTGTCGTATTAGGGCACTGGTCACTGGATCTGGGGGCCCATTCTAATCAAAGGCACTCTTTTCTCTGTATTCCTACCCTGGCTGCAACAGACCTTTATTCCAAATTAAGTCATGTTCACAGGTGCCAGGTAAGGACTTGGACCTATCTTTTGGGGGACGGAGGCACAATCTAACCCATATGCCTCCTAATACCTTTGAAGAAGAGGACAAGACAGCTATCCCATGGAGGATGGGAGCAGTACAGTAAGCTAGGTAGCAAGGGGACTCGGGGACAACACTGGCCCTCATGGGCTGAGTCTAAAGATTCCCCCACCCCCCAGGCAGGAATTTCCTTGGCATTCAGGTTCCTTATGCCACCCTTAACCCCATAGTGACCATAGATCACAGCACACACTTGATGCCTAGAGGGTACCACCTTGAACTAGACCTTTCCTCAGTTCATGTCCTGCATAAAGAACCCTTAAGGACTTGAGCCCTGCAGGGTCTTGGGAGCAGGTGCTGTGCTCTGTAAACCTTGGCCACCCTGTAGCCTGCCACTGTCCACTAATAGAGACTGACTTTCTTTTAATCTTCAGCTTCCTACAATGCCATTTTTAAATAAGCTCATGTTTTGCAGTATGAAAGGTTTTGTCTGAATTTTAACAGATACAAGAATAATTAGTTCAAATTCTAAGAATAAAGACAGGACCCAGTTATTCCACTCCTCAGTATATATATCCAAAGGACTTAAAGTCAGCATACTACAGTGACAAATTCCACACCAATGTTCATAAACAGTTCGATTCACAATAACTAAGCTTTGGAACCAATCTAGATGCCCTTCAACAGATGAATGGATAATGAAAATGTGGTATATTATACACAGTGAAATATTACTCAGCCATTAAGAAGAATGAAATTATGGCACTTTCCAATAAATGAATGAAACTGGAGACTATCATGCTAAGTGAAATTAACCAATCCCCCCCAAACAAAGGCTGAATATTCTCTGTTATGTGCAGATGCTAATACACAATAAGGAGGGTTGAGGAGGGAAGAATAGAAATTCATTGGATTAGACAAAGGGGAATGAAGGGAAGGGAGTGGGGGACGAGAATAGGAAAGACAGTAGAATGAATCGGACATCACTTTCCTATGTTCAAATATGAACACACCACCAGTGTACCTCCACATCATGTTCAAACCCAAGAATGGGAAGTCATACTCCATGTAGGTCAATATGTCACAATACACTCTACTGTCTTTTATATCTGAAAACAACAATAAAAATTATGATAGTAAAAAACAAACAAAAACGAATAAAGCCAGGCCTCCTGAGATGCCCTTCTCCTGTGCTGACCATGGTGTACTGCTCAGAAGAGGCTCTTTGAAAAAGATACCTTAGGACAGGTGTGCCAGGCCACCATGCTCCCTCCAGTGGGTGAAAACAGCATTATTAGCAGCCCAGGTGAGCACAGCCTGAGAATTTGGGAGGAGAGAAAGAAGTTCAGGCAGCTGAGATGAGAGCACCCGGCTGCCTATGCCAGCCTGACCAGTGTCCCCCCCCCCTTGGCCGGGATCTACCCCCTTCACTCCTGTCTCCTCTTGTCTGTTTTCAGGACTCTTCCTCAGCTGGACCCATCCCAACGGCTGTCCCACGAACTGCTGCAGTGGCTGGAGAGCAGGGCACATCTCCCAAAGTCCAGCTGCCACTCAACGTGTGAGCTGCCCCTTGTGTTCCCCCCACCCCACGTCCTTGGTCCCCCTGCATGCTAGCATTCACACATGTAGTTTCTATAGGGTTTTTCAATTGTGTGCACCCGATAACACTGCCTGAAGGTCGGTACGGGGAACAGATGTCTAGCAGGGTATTTTAATATCGTTGTCCCAAGGTCAGTTACAATAAGCGGAGGGTATATTCAAAATATGGGACCACACTGGTACTGGTCAATCAGGAAACGAGCAGACACAGCACTTCCCTCCCTTCATTTCCCTTCAGGGAGGGAAGGGGGAGGAAGTGGCAGGAGTAGCTGGTGGCCTCGGGAGCTCAGGGGCAGCAGCTAGTTAGCGACTACTCAGACGTGTGAGTATTTATCCACCCTGAGTGCCATCCCAGTGTGGGCCAGCTGCACACCAGCCCCAAATATAACCCACTGAATCACTGCTAGGAAGTGAGACACTTGTCTTGTTTAGAAAAATCTGCTCCATTAAATTACAGCTTTCTCTACGTGCAGTTTAAAAATTCCCCATCTAAGTAGGGTTCTGAAGAATTAGGCAGCCTTCGGCTCTTTCATTTACCGATGAGCTCAGTCTCTTGAGTGGATTTTAAGGTGGAGTGTATGAATTGGGCAAAAAAAAAAAATGGCAAGGACAGAAAGTTCCAGCAATCCAGGTATTGTCAGAAGGACATTCAGAACCTGTGTGGTTGCAGAATGGAATGTATTTTAGAAAAGTCAAAAATGTGGCTTTGGAGAAAGCGCCATGCCAATCTTCAAAGGTTTCCTAGAAGTAGCTTAACGGTCCTGGCACACTTTCACCTAGCTGGTTAGACCAAGTTGACATGTCAGCCTTCGGCCAGTGGTGGCGAGGAATGTGACCAAGTACCCTTCCTAGTGGTCCCATGAGTACTGAGAGCAGATACCTACTACAGGGGCGTGATTGATCCTTATCTCACCCTTATCCTGCCTGCTGAGAACTGACTCAATGGAAAATTTGAAGTTTATCCACTTTTCACCTAGCTTCTCCAGGGGAACAGATAGTCAGCTACATTACAGATGTCTTTATGTTGAAATTCAAATTTTCACCAACACTGGACAGAAGACACACCCAACCCCAACCAAACCTGGATCAAAGTTTTTTGAGCCAACTGAGGATGTAGTTCAGTGATAGAGTGCTTGCCCCTAACATTTGCAAAGCCCTAGATTCCATCCTCAGCACTGAGGAAAGGGAAAGGAAGGGAAGAACATTCCAGAAATTTCCTAGTGGCAAAATTCAAATTTGTTCTGCACCAGGAACTACACTGAACCCAAGTGCATGAAGTGATTTATAGACACTGTATTCATTAATATCATTCTACAGAAGTGATTTAAAGTCTACAGGAGGACATGCATAGGTTGAATATACAGCACCATTCTATATAAGGGAATTGAACACTTGCTGATTAAGGAGGATTATGGCATCCGTGGGGCTCCTAGAACCAAATCACCTTAGATACTGGGGGTGTCAGCAGTGTTTTCTGATCATGCTCCCAGATCCACTCATGCAGTTTCACCCCAGCCAGGGCCTGAGGAGGCTCTTGGGGAAGTTGGGATAATAGGTTGGCTCCTCCTGAAGAACTGGATGCAGGACGTCATCCCTGAAGAAGACCCACGTCCACAGGATATGGCTCTGATGCCAGGGTAATGAGACTGTTCATGTTGAGTCCCCACAACTAGCTGAATGCCTGTTGTTCCCTGAGATTCAAGGGCACCCCCTTCCTGGGTACAGAGGATCTCCACTCCCACATGTCAGGTTAGTCACCGAGAAAGCTGCTTTGTCTTTGAGACCCAAGTTGGGAACATGCTGGACACCCTCTGGAGGCATCACCCGTGGACACACTGTGTTCTGGATGCCTCTTCACTTTGGTGCCGAGCATAGAGGGTCTTCTTCCTCCCTGGCCCACTCTGCCATGGGGACGTGCGTCCAGACTTCTGTTCTCTCCTGCCTTGTCTCACCCCTAGAGTGTAGGTGTCTCTAGCTTGAGACATCTATCTGGGTAGCAGGAAGGGAGACTCCCGTTAGATATTGGTTTTCTCGGGTAGGACGGTGACATGGTGGTCATCTACACAGCCAATGAACCACAGTGGGCATGGCCTGTGGCTGGCCATGGCAAGCTCTGTGTGTGGGTCCTTGGATGTCTGTGTGAGCAGCAGGCCCAGGCTGGGGAATATCTTACACATTGCCGCAATATGCGTGGTCCATTGTGTAAACGTGAGCACTGAAAGCACATTTCTGTGTTTTTCCTGGGGAACGATCGATCAGATGGACCTTGTCAGTTTATCGAGTCAGACTAGCCTGATCGCTTGGCCATCTTCTTTAGTTCCAAGAACCTAGTGGTCCCATGAGTACTGAGAGCGGATACCTAGCACAGGGGCATGGTTGATCCTTCTCTAATCACTCTTCCCAAAACAGAATCTGTAAATCATATTCAAAAGAATGGACGGCAACATGAGATGAGCTCGTGTTGAGCTCACGTTCAGCAGTGTGCGGGGGGTCTGCCAGGCTGAGCTGATGGCCTTGGGACTCCGATACCACAGGGACCAGTAATGCGACAACTCCAGGGGACCCTCATTCATAATCCTCATTACTGCATGACTTTGACTTCCACAGCCAAGTCCTGTGCCCTGAAACCCAACCCCTGATTGGCTTCCTAGGCCTTTTGGTTGGTGACAAGATATTGCCCTTAGCCCCTTCTTCTTGCACATAAAAGGTTTCCATGTCACTGATTTCCTGAGGGTTCCATTGCCCTGGCAAACAGACAGGGGAACTGACTATGCCCACCCAGGACATGGAGATACCACTCCTCTGTGGAGATGTTGACCCACTCCTATGCCCTCCCTTTCCACTGTGCTGTGCTGGTAATTCTCTCTGGCTCTGGGGCTTCTCTGCTAGATACCTGCTGGGATTCCTGGAGGCCAGATATGTGAGCATCTGAAGGTCAGAGATGACCTCTCTGGAGGGTCTGAGGTTGGTAAGGACATTTGTGAGTGGGGCACCTCTGACGCTGGATTCGATTCCCTCCGCTTCTCCATGGGCATCTTAGTCATGAAGGACCAAGGAGTTAGGGAGAGAGCAGAGCAGAGGACTCCCCCATGGCTGAGTAGCTCTGACAGGAGATGGGGAAGAGAGTGGCAGAGCTACACCATGCCCGTCTAGCACCCCCAGCAGTGTCAGAGTCTCGTGTGATTGATGCTGGTCATCAGGTGCTGAAGCAGGAGGAACAGCATAGTCCTCAGATAACAAACTGGGTGTGGCATCAGACCTGCCTTCAGGAGGATCCCGGCCTTCCTCAGTGCTGGCTCGTGTGCCTGTGCACCGCAGGCAACCCTAACTCCTGGACATTAGAGCCATGCTCTGAGACTGGACATCAGCTTACCATGGGAGAAGGAACTTCCAGTCACCTGTCAGGAAAGCCCAGCACTGCCTACAGCAGCTGGCTCCCCAGATGCCACTAGGCATCATGAACTGGGGCGGCAGAGGGAGGGGTTGGCCTGCAGACCGGGAAAGGGAAGACCAGGAGAAGCAGCAGCCGGCATTGCCAGGTGGAGACTGGGTCCTTGACTCTGTGGTCAGTGCTGGTCAGGTGAGACAGGCTGTGTGGGGTGAGCAGGGGCCACCTGGCCACCACCTTTCCTGATGGTCAAAGGCCTCCAAATCACCCTGAAGAACAGTGTGGGCCCCATATTCTGGGATATTGGGCGAGGACTGGTGACCAAGCCAGGCCCAAATCAGGAAGAGGTCTTCCATCACAAACTCGTGGAACAGGCCAGCTCTGCCCTGCCGTGGAGTGGATCAGTGTGAGGTCAGTGCAGTGGGACACAGGGAACTGAGTCTGCTCAGGCTGGGGCTGAGGCGGGCAGCAGCAAGGCCGGGGTCCCTGCCCTGGAAGTGTCTGGAGGCCAGCCATCCGCACACCAGTCCCAGCCTCCAGGTCAGCCCTTATGAGCGCCAGTGGCTCCTGCCCTTGGAGTTAAGAAGATGCAGTCGAGTGTGAACAAGGGGAGGAGCCCGAGAACTGGTGCCTCCCGCAGGTGGGGAAGGGGGAGAGATGCGAGAGGAAGGAGCAGAGATGACCTGGAGAGAATCCTCTAGGAGGAGCAGGGAAGATCTTTCACTTAGTTAGGAGAAATGTGAGCAAGCCACCATCTAGAGGAGGAAGGGTGTGAAACACTCTAAGGCACTAAGATGCAGTGGGAGATGGGAAATCTGCAGGCTGTTACAGCCAGGGAAGATCCTGCTATAGGTAGAAGTAACATGGGTGACAAAGGACGTGGACACAGACGTTGCACCATGCCACACCAAATCACCACGGCTGCCAGCCTGTCCAGCCTGTGTACTGCCCCTAGGCTCCAGACACAGGGGCCTGGGATGACACCTGACTGTGGGCTCAGCTGGGCACCTGCAGGGCTGCTCCTGCCCACAGGAGAGGTGTCTTTTCCTCAGCCACCTGCTCGCAAGAGGAGTCCTTTTTGAAATGACACAAAACCCCACCCAGGTATAGAGTTGTGGTGAAGAACTCCAAAAGATCATACATTTGCCTTTAAAAAAGTATTTTTAGTACTCTCACGTCTGCGTGAGAGTCTGCAGAGGTGATCTCTGAGCATGGTAGGCAGACCGGCTGACCTGGATGTGTTAGGGAGACCACGTGAGCTCTCTGTGGAGGTCTGGCCTGAGCTTCCAAGGTCTTTTGAAGTGAGTGGGAGAGTGGGAGACAGGAAAGTGAGAACCATGCCACCCACAGGTGCACCTTCCTCTTCCCCATTCCATGCTAGGCCTGGGCACGTGTGCCCACGGGGACCCACTCAGCACACTGAGCTCCATGCGTATTGCCCAGCTCAGCCAAGGAGCATCCACACATGCAGGGCAGGGCAGCTGAGGGACAGATAAGGAGTGATGCCTCTGTGGCTGTCACTTAGAACTGGGAAACAGCCAGTGCAGGAGACAGGCTGCTGAGATTCCCCC